CGGATTGTTGGGGGCAATATGCTGACTCTGTAAACTGCTTAGAGAGGGCTGAAAGCCCTATGAAGCGGTATATAAGTCTAACTGCTATTGCTATAACCTTTTTTGGCCATAGTCGTTAAGTGAATCCAACTTGCCATACTTGTTACCCTGTTTCCCTGAAAATAAGACCTCCCCGGATAATAAACCCAGTCGGGCTTTTGAGCACATGCGCTAAAATAAGCCCTCCCCCCAAAATAAGCCCACCCCCCAAAATATTGCAACACAGCAGCAGCCATGAGGTGACACACTCACTGCCTCCTGCACCTCAAAAATAATAAGACCTCCAAAATAAGGCCAAGTGCTTATTTCCGGGGTCAAAAGAAAATAAGACCCTGTCTTATTTTCAGGGAAACATGGTAAGTGAATCCAACTTGACTTTGCTAGAAAGATTGCAAATAGAAATCAGGTGACAAATTGGCTGCTGTAACCCTTGTAAATACCGGCAGGTTGCCCAGCACCCAAATTTTGATCCCGTGACCCTGGAGATGCTACTATAGTTGCAAGTGTGAGGACTGTTGGTAAGTAGCTTTTTTGGGTGCTGTTGTAACTTTGAACAGTCACAGAACAAACAGATGTAAGTCAAGGACTACTATATCTTTTCTGAAAATAGCAACAAGCGAAAAAAAGAGAAAGAGAGAGAGAGATTACCTTTAAAACATTATTTATTAGTCAGGTTTTATTTATTTTATTTTTTGGGGAAAGCAGTTACTGTTTCTTCTTTATAAAAAGTGTCCCATCCCAGTTACATCGAAGTGATTAAACATGAAGATGTGGAGCAGGTTGGCTGGTCATGTACAGAGGTCCCTGGCCAGCCCGTTCATTGGGAGCTGGACGATGTCATGACGACGTCCACGTTAGCTATGGTACGGATGCTGTGGCCTGGCCGTGCTAATCCACCCGAGCCTGGCAGCCAGCAGAAGCTCCAGGATTAAGGCTAATCCCATTGGCACTGACAGCTTGGCCTGAGCTGCTCCCCTCCAAACGGAGGCAGTGTGTTCAGGGGGAAGGGAAGAATGGCCTGGCATGGGGCTCACGGCAAAACGAGGGGTGTCCCCCCCCACACACTTAGATCCAAAGAGGAGCCAGCAGAGAGAGCCAGGGAAGAAGCAGGGCCACCTGGCCGACGGCTCCCGTCCCCCCACTTGTGGGCGCGGGGCTCAGGAGTGGGTTAAAGTGCTCAGGCCGCCCCCTCTGAAAGCAGCCCTCCTAGGCTGCAGCACCAAAGGGCCCCAGGGAGCTGAAGGCAGGGACGCCCCCTGTGGGATGGTTGTAGCACCAGTGAGAGGGAGGGGGGCCAGCCGGGGGGTGGCAAGGCATGGGGCTGTGTTGGCAGCGGCGGTGGTGGAATCTCTGCTTTTCTCAGGGGTGGGGTGGGGGTACATTCGAGACCAGGCAGTAGCACCAAAGTTCATGAGGTGAATGGTAGGCTGTCGGTCTGGGCTACTTCCTCTTCCGGCCGACTCCTCCTGAAAACGGAAGAGAGAGACAGAATGACCAAGCCGTCCGGCAGGTAGGGGCCAAGGGGACTTGCCAATCCAGAAACGGCCCTGGTGATTCTGCCCCTGGCTTGGGTGGGATGCAAAGTTTTTAACTGGGTTTGTTGAAGGCCCAGTTATTTTATTCAGACATGTTCGACTTCCAATAGAAGAAAAATATCTGTAGCTCAAGGCTGAACTGTGGCATTCTTGGTGCTCTCTGAACTTGGTTATTTGTTTGCAAGTATTTCCTTATCCTCGGAGCCTCGGTGGCGCAGTGGTTAGAGTGCAGTACTGCAGGCTACTTCTGCTGACTGTCAGCTGACTGCAATTTAGCAGTTCAAATCCCACCAGGCCCAAGGTTGACTCATCCTTCCATCCTTCCAAGGTGGGTAAAATGAGGACCCAGATTGTTGGGGGCAATAGGCTTGACTGTAAACCGCTTAGAGAGAGATGTAAAGCACTGTAAAGCAGTATATAAATCTAAGTGCTATTGCTATTGCTACCCGACTAAGTAGATTCATCAGTGCTATAGCCAAGCAGCCGACCAAGCCAAGAGCACCAAGAACTCCATGCGTTCAGCTTTAATAACATCCATGTCCTTGGTTGTGTATGTGGGTTAGCGTGATTTGTACAAATCCAGGCGACTTAATTAACGGATGATTCTGGAATTTAAATAGCAAAACCATTAGTTACAAAGAGGAAGCTTGATTTCAGATTTTGGTTTTGAAACCTACAGTATAATAGACAGCTTTTATGGCATGGAGTAGTACCGGGTAGAATCTGTTCTGGGCTTGGAAACTAAGTGGGGGTCAAACTCCCACCAGCTACTCCTGCACCTCTACTGAGGATCCCCAAAACTAGTTCAGATGACGATTACTGTTTTGGGAACAGGTTATAGGTGGTGCTCAGGCATTCCCCAGCTAACTGGACACGAGGACCAAATCTGTCCTGCAAGAATCAGATCAGCCAATCAGCTGCCCTGACATCTTGTTTCTGACTGGGAGATTCTGTGGCAGGCATGTTGAGTATCAGTCTTCTTCTTTCAACTCAGGGTCAAATTGTTGGAAGCAGACTGTCTCTGAACATGGCAGTTTTGGAAATAAAAAGAAGCGGTAGCCCTCAATCAGGTTATCTTTCCAAGCTATGGCGCCACTTACTTTTGTAGCCAAGTGCCCCCAGGACTCCATAGGGCTTGGGAGGTTTACCTGTGTGTGTAGAGAGAAAAGGGGAGTCATTCAAGGCTAGTTAATCAGTTAACTTCTGCACTATTCTTTGCCCATTGGGGAAATTCATTTTTTTTTTACTACCGGTTCGGTGGGCGTGGCTTGGTGGGTATGGCAGGGGAAGGATACTGCAAAATCTCCATTCCCACCCCACTCCTGAGGCCAGCCAGAGGTAGCATTTTCCGGTTCTCTGAACTACTCAAAATGTCCGCTACTGGTTCTCCAGAACCTGTCAGAACCTGCTGGATTTCACCCCAGTCTTTGCCCCTTTCCTCCCCCTAAAGTACTGCTCTTACCTCCATAGCCAGGTACACCTCCACCTGTGGATCCCAAAGGAGAGAGAAAATCTTGTTAGCATTGCCTTTACCCCTTTTAGTCACTACCACCCCTTTCCCCGCTGTGCTAAGAATTGCTGAGAAAAACGGGCCCATCTAAAGCGCTTGTCAGTGGCCGGATCCATGCATTGCAGTAAGCCATCATTTGCTGAACCATGGTGTAAAAAAAAGCAAATGGCTGGTTCACACAACATGCAAAGCTAAAACCAAAGAAACTGCAACATATGCTCAATGAAAATGAAGTAGTTTCTGCCCCTGTGAATTGTGGAGATGTAGCCAATTCTGCGGGGTAAACTAGCCACGGGGTTGAGAGCACATGATATGAATGCAGCAGTTGTTTCATTAACCCAGGTTTAATACATTACGAGAAATCTGGCCATTGTGCTGTATATGTTGCATTGACTGGGCCAGTCTATTTTCTTTATTAATAACCCCTGGAAGAATTTTTAAGGGGCATTGCTCTGTTAATTACAACAGTTAATGTTACTGAGGTAGTACACACGGGGTGGGGGGTGGGGAACCATCATTTGATAATCATTGCTCTCAGGATACAGGCTTGCTATTCTGGCCAGACAAAGATTATTTAGCCCAGAGCCCCTTCCAGCATTTGGGTCTGCCACAGTGATGAAATTCAGGTTTTTTTTACTACCGGTTCTGTGGGCGTGGCTTGGTGGGCATAGCGAAGGGGAAGGATACTGCAAAATCTCCATTCCCACCCCACTCTGGGGCCAGCCAGAGTTGGTATTTGCCAGTTCTCCGAACTACTCAAAATTTCCACTACTGGTTCTCCAGAACTGGTCAGAACTTGCTGAATTTCACCCCTGGTCTGCTAGGACCTGAGGCCTCCCCTCGACAACATACCTGGGTAAACAGAAGATAATCCATAGCCAGTGCCAGTTGCTGCAATAGAGGGGAACAGGTGGGAGAAAGCATAAAAAGACTTCAAAGGGTCAAGCACAGAGGACACTTGATTGACACAGTTAAATGAAGTATTGGAGGACTGAGGCAGCCAATGATTTTGCACACGTGTAAAGAGGACTCTTGCTGTTAGAGTACCAAAAGCAGTATTCAAACATTGTGTTTCAAGCTAGCCAACTGCAATTCAGCTTCGTATGCTGGTTTCATCCTTCCATGTGGTTAGTTTATGCTACAGTTGTTTAGTGTGATTCCAAAAGCTTGGGTTAGCTCAGGGGTCGGCAAACCTAAACACTCAAAGAGCCATTTGGACCCGTTTCCCACAGAAAAGAAAANCCCCCCCGGTCAAAGTTGTCCCTCTTTACCAATTTGAAAATATGGTCACCTTATTCAAGGAACAAACAGGGACTTTTGCTGTTGTACTGTGTCATCCTTGGAGTTTGCCTTTAGCTATTTCATGGCCAGTATGACAGCCATAAATTTATCACAGATTATAAGAGATCTGGCTCTTGAGGTTGGCTTCATGCTGCACCTGATTTTCATTTTAGACCAAATACAATATGAACTGAAATTGGTGGACATCAACATCCAACTTTGCCATTGTTGGGTCACTTTCTGCTTGAGTTTGAACTTGTTGGTGCTATCGCTGTCAGCAGGGCTAAAGGATCTGTTCAGTTGGTCTTCCTGAGTAACAGATCCTCAGGATTTTCAGAGGGAGATTGGGGAATCTGGTGAGGATTTCTGCAAATTCTTAGCCACTTGCTGGAAAACAGAGGAAGCCATGGTGACATGTCCAGAGCCATGGACTCTTTTGATTACCCTTGCTTTATTGAGGTGCTTTAGGGAATGAAGTAGCTTGTGATTCAGGATATACCTAGCAGGATACCACACTGTAGAAGATAAAAGAGCAATTGTGACGCAGATAAGAGCTCAAGTGGCACTAAGAGTAGTGAAATGATGATATTTCTCTGCCTTATTGTATCCTCAAATTGCTGATTGATGATCCTTTCAAAAGTAACCTGCACTATTCTGGGGAAGGATGGGCCAGAAGAACCTATTTTGGTCACTGTAAGAGAGTGTTAGCTTTCAATCAGCAGCTGAGTAATAACTATATAGGTAAAATGTGCCATGATCTGGAAGAGTTCTTGAAAGGAACATAATAGTTACACCATCTTATATGACTCATTGTAAATAATCACAGTATTAAAATATACAGTCACTTTTCTGCATATTGTCTAGAAGAATACTAAAAAATACCATAGACGAGTTGTAATTCTTGAATTTCTTTATATAAGTCTGCATTATGATTTGGTTTTAGCTTTCAACCTAGCTTCCTATAGACAGCAAGTCAATGTTCCCAGTTTGCATATGACATTGAAAAAGTTGTGGAAGGACCATCCTTGATATCTTAATTGCTACTGACAGAAATAGCCAAAGGGGGGGGGGGATCATGTTTTTTATGGTAAGCTGGAAAGTTCTGATTTATACCATATCTAAACATGTCCCATATCTCAGTACTAAATTCCCACACATTCAATCACAGAAGTTATCAGAAACTAAAACCATGTTGATTTATCATATGTGGAAAAAACCTCCACATTAGCTCCTGCCTATAACCTTTCCGTTGCTCTTTGTAAAGAAAAAGCACATTAGAGTAAAATAACAAAACAGAAAACCTGGCTGTCACAATCATAATTGAAAAATAGAATTGAAAGGTGTGGCTTTTTGCTGAGCAATTGAAAGAATGAGCAAGCCTCTCTTTGTAGCCTTGAAGTTTTATCTCCTCCTCCTAGCTCTTCTCCAAAAGTGCAATGCAAATATGAACGGGATTGACCCATGACATTGTCTTTAGATATGCTCTGCAAATGCAATAAATTGTGGCAAGGCTTATGCACTGCAGTGCCATCTCATTTGTAAATTATGAAAAAAAAACCATGCTCTACGTCACTGTAGTGAGAGCAGCAAAATAAAGATTGCTGTTACAAACAAGGGCAGAATATTTTGCTGTGGTTCCATCTTTGCCAAGTGTCTTTTGTGAATCAGTTGGTGACCTCAGGCATTGTGTTTTGCTGTATTTCATGTTTTGTGGTTATAGATTGTTCTGTCTGTTGCCTTTTTATTTGCTTTGCTGAAATATGTTGGAAATTAAAACTTTTCTAGTTTTTTCCTGTTTTGGTAAAAAAAACCACCTTCACTACCATATAATAATTAGAAACAAAAGGAGACTTTATAATTTAGAGTTTGAAATATGCTGAAAATATTTGAAGAGAAAATATCCTGAAGAGAGAATATCTTGGAAGATGGGTTGTCTTATGGGTTTTACAACAGCATTTTGCAGTGAATTTTATTTGCTTTTTTGGCATCCTATTTTATGGGCTCTGGGAGCCTGAGTATTGATGATTTCCAGTTTGATTTCAGACATTTTGTCCTTCCCTTACAATGTCCGACGACACTTCTTCCTTATTTGACAATTTTATTTTTCATGTCAATGCAGATTACCAGATGGAAATATGGTGACCCTTTAGGAAATCCAATGCAAACTTTTCATCTAAAGTGACTCATACAATGTTCTATAAGAAATTGACATGCTTGATACCCTTCTAAAGTCCTCTATAAAGGAAGGTTCAGACAAGTAGCCACAAAGAGTTATTGAGTCAGACTGCTGTTGCTTGAGAGATTCATATGGTAAACATAATTTAGGGAAACCTACATCAGAGCGACCAGTAGTGATCCAAGTAATAAAGTCATTGAAGACTATTCTCCTGAGTCAGTGGAGACGGCATCCATGTGGGGGTTATACTCATGTACCATCCAATAGAACTGAGTCTGCAAAGTTTAAGTCCCGCCTCTTCCTGCTGACCTCCCAGCTTTTATGACTCACTACCACTTGAATTAGATGTGCTATCAATGTCTCCTTGAATAGTGTTATATTTCCTTATTGTTCCTTTGAGCCTTCTCTTTCCCTTATCTTCTTTTTCCTTCCCTCCTAGGTTCCTTTAGTTCCCCCTTTCGTTTGATCCTCAGAAGGTAACTTCGCTTCCTTTTGGGGCAGCACCGTGGAGTGCCTGCTCCGGCAGTGTACGGAGGCTGCCGATCATAGGAGGCCATCTGCGGCCTCAGATGCCCCAGCAAGTCTTACAGCAATCCCCAGGGAGTGTGGTAGCCACGGGGAGGCTTGTCTCGCACTTTGGTATCTCTGGAGCTGGCTTGGAGTGAGGGTAGCCGGGGGGCAGTTCTTTTTGCCATTTGGGGCCTCTGGGGCACTGTTTTGGGTGCAAAAAGACTGCGGCTGCCATTTTGTCTATTGGTAAAGTGGTGGTTGCCATTTTGGAGCCTGAATTTAACTGAGTGCCGCAGTTCCCTAGAGGGGCCCTTCCAGAGGATCTCCCCTAGGCCACCAGGCTTATCTATAGACCCAGGGAGGGCTAGAATCATCCCTTTGGGGATCAGGAAGTAGCCAGCCCAGCCTTGCTTACCACCACTGAGGCTTTTGGCACGGAGCCAGCAGCTTACCTGTTACAGGCTAGAGACAGGCCCAGGTGTGCCTGTCTAAAAGGGCCAGCACCTGCTCTCATTTACCCAGAACCCGGGCCCTGGTGTGCCCTTTAATTGGGATAGTCACTTCCATTGATTTAACCCTCAGTTTACCAGACAGGCAGCTGACATCCGGGTTGGAAGGAGGTGACAGGGAGGTCTCATCCCCTTTGTCGGATGACCCTCTTGACGGGCCATCCACCCTTTGCCTGACCAGCAAGCGCAAGTCCCCTCCCCCCAAAAAGGGGGTAGAACCAAGGGCTAGTTAAAGGCTACACAGAGGGCAGAATTCAGGAGGGAAAAGGGCATATAGCAATAGCAGTAGACTTATATACCGCTTCATAGGGCTTTCAGCCCTCTCTAAGCGGTTTACAGAGAGTCAGCATATTGCCCCCAACANAATATTTCATTCATTCAGATCTAGGATGACTTATTTTTTTGAGCAGTGTACATACACCTTAGCAGTATCCCATGCATTTTCCAATGAAACCTGTCAAATCCTCTCTCCTATGTATCCTGCATCCTGTAACCATTGATTTATTACCTTTAGCCTTGCGCCTAGGCACTCAAGCATTTTCTCACCTTTTGGGGAATGTAAGGAAAGAGAGGGCCATGTGGGTTGTATTACTCGAAAGCCGGCTGACCCTGAGAAAGGTCCCTTATCACTTTCTCAGAGCGGCCGGTACAATACCATCTTCACACCTGCGCATTAGCGGAGTACACATTGGACTGTTGAGAGGGCTTTCTAATTCCTTTTATTCTAATTGTATGGCCTGAGGGCCCTCAGAGTCAGCTTTGATTTTGCTCTGCTATCACTCCTGCAATAAAAGGTTTCTTTTGAAATGCTAAGTTTCAAGAGTTGTTACTTTCTTGAATAAGAAGGAAAGGCTGGGCCTTACATAAAGCAGGCTCTGCAAATGTGATCAACCCAGAGAGAAAAATGTTGCTTTACTGAGGGGATCCTGCAAATCATGTCCAAACAAAGCAGTAAGCAAAGGGAGGCAGAGTCCTGAGACGTCAATGACCACCCAACCAGATGCTGGAGCCATCTGCCCCATTGAAGACATCAAAGCTGTCCTGGGAAGCATTGTGAAACCCCGATGGTCCATTGGCATGGGGAAGAAGGACAGCTGGGCTGGAAGAACCAAACGAGTCACCCTCACTTGCGGTAGCCGGAAACTGGGGTGGAAAATGGAACTAGAAGCCCTGTCCGATCAGGAAGAAATGATTGAGGAACCGCTGGGTGGAGGAGACCGGCTTGAGACACATTGCCCGGCTTCTGATGGAAGCCTTAGAAAATCTTGATGTCTCAGGTGAGCGGGGTCAGCAGTGGAGGGGGGAAGAAGCAGCACCAGTCACCGATGAAGCCAGAGCTGTCACCCCGGACCCCGCAGCAGCTGGCCAAGCCAATGCTGCCACCAAGACCACAGCCATGCCAGGGAACCTGCCCCTTGCAGCACCAACCAAAGGGGCCAAGGAACTCCCCCCCCCCCGGATATAGAGTATGATAGGGACCTCCAGAAGTTGGGATTCTTCCCAGCCCAAGGCCTCACATACATGCATGAGTATGGCTGAAACTTCCCAACACAAGGGGTGCGAGTTCATGTAGTAACCCTAGCCTTAGAAGAGGGGGCTGCCTTATGGATGGTAACCCTCCATAACGCTGACACCACTGAGCTGCAAAATTTTGACTGCTTCATAATGGTCCTGCGACATCAGTTCGAAGACCCACTGGCTGACCACAAAGTCCATGATCACATAAGAGCTGTGAAGAAGGTTGCTGGCCAGTAGCGGAATATACTGAGGAATTCAGAGATCTCATGTGCTGACTGGATTGGTCAGAAGACATCTTAGTGAGCTGGTTCAAAGACGGGCTAAATGATCACCTGCTTAGCCCGAGGGGCTCCTAACCATTTACATGAATGGTACCTCATGGTGGAGGAAGCCAAAAGCGACGTGACCAGGAACCAATACCAAGCAGGACAGGTCTGGAGGAGATCTCCACCCCAGGGAAAAAGACAGCTATTCAAACCACAGACTGCCCTAACATCAAGGCCATTGGCTTGTTTTAAATGAGGAAAGGAGTGGCACCTCACAGCAGAATGCTGTTCAAAGACTCATGGGAAATGCTGTTATCTGGGTAGTATCAGACTTATTCTCCAAACAGGTTCATTTTATCTACCACCCTAAAATCTCAACAGCTTAAGCACTAGCAAAGATGTTCCTGGTACACGTTTACTGCCTCCATAATCAAAGAATTATTTCTGGAATTCTGGAGTCCAACTCACTTCAAAATTTTGGTGGTTTTTTTTTTAACCTATTAGGCTCGGCCCAGGACTTAAGCTCCTCCCACCACACCCAGATAAACAGGGAGCTGAGAAAGCTAATGGGGTGCTGGAACAATATTTAAGATAAGTATAAGTATAATCTTTATTGTCATTGTACTTAAATACAACGAAATTGGTTTTATAAAAGATGTTTTAAAGATGTTTTATAAACTACCAACTATACAATTGGACAAACCTTTTACCTTTTGCTAAGGTGGCATACAATAACTCAGTATACATCAGCACAGGATTTACCCCATTCCAAGTAGCCACTGGACAAGAATTCACTCCCATGCCTGAGCTACCCACTGAAGAACCAGACATTCCCTCCCTTAAGGAGTGGATGCAAAGCTTGCAGATCACATGGCCAGTTGTGAAGTTAGCTCTACAAGATGTTAGGGCAGCATTCAATGCTCAAGCAGACAAAAAGAGGACTGAGTCGGAGGAGGATCCAACGTCGCAACGATACTGACGTGCTGTCTCGATGCTCCGAGACTGCAGCCGATACTTTTGCCGCTGGGTGGTCCAATCGGACCTAAACCCTCCTGAAGAGATGGTGAACAGGAAGAATACATCTTGCTAATCTCAGGGACATCGCAAAGTCCCTGACTGATGCAAGAGAATTTCTTCAAGCCGGCGACAAAAAATCCAGCCAAGGCTGATGAAGTCGGGGCAGCTCCAAAATGGAAGGATATGGAAAAAGAAAGTGTTTCCAGCTGGTGAGTAACTTTTACTGTTTTAAAAAGACACTGTCTATAAAAAACTTAAAATTAATTTAAATTGGAGAACAGAAGAATCAAGTGGCGGAATTAAATTTGGAATGGTTTTGGACATTGGTTATCTTACTTTTTAAATGCTATCTTCATGGATGGAATTTATGCAAGCCTTTTAAAACAAATGGATTAAGTTTTCTTCTATTTTTTCTTTTATTATTCTCTGTAACCTATGGTCTAAAAATTTCCTCTTTAATTACTGTGGGTGTTCTACTAACCCATTTAAAAATTGGACTCTTTTTTCTAACTTGAAATACAAAAAAGATACAAAAAGAAATAAGGAAATTTGCAACAATAACACTGCTACTTGGAGGTTGGAAGGTTTGTGTATTGGAAACGGAACACTTTTTTCTTCTTCACTGATTGTTTTGGCTTGGCACTACAAAATCTCACTGCTTGGTTATATCCTTTGAAGTATATCTTTAACCAGAGATAAGTGAAAACAAAACGTTTTTGTGAATCTATGCTTCATTTTATAAACCTTCCAAGCTAGAGCAGCTGTGTTTGTTAGCTGGATAGAATGGCACAAT